ATGTACTGCTGCAACTCTTTTTTTTACTTATCTTCAGCAAAATTTTACATGCTTGTGATATTAATGATATTGTTCGATGATTTCCACATTCTATTGGACCACCTATCTTTGGAATGGGCACAAACCTGGATTATTTACAAGGAATGCTACTCAGTAATAAAAGGAAAGGACTATTGGTACACACAATAACCTAGATGGATCTCAAGGGAATTATGCTGAAAGGGGAAAAGAAATCCTAAAAGGTGACATATTATTTGATTCTATTCATAGGACACTCTTGAAATAAAATTTGAAGAGGTGGAGAACAGATTAGTAATTGCCAGGAGTTAGGAGATAAGGAGTTAAGGTATAACTACAAAGGAATAAAACAAGGGAACCTTGTAGTGATCAAACAGTTCTCCATCTTGATTTGGTATTGGTTACATGAAGCTACATGTGATAAAATTGTGTAGACTATACATATACAGACTGGATGCATGTATAACTGATGCAATCTGAATGGGTTCTTCCAGTGTCTTGGTTTTATTATTCTAAAGTTATGCAAGATATTAACATTGGGAGGCAGGGTGATGGGTGCATGGTATCCCCTTATACATTTCTTTGGAACTTCTTGTGGATCTAAAATTATTTCAGAGTAAAAAGTGGAAAACAAAACTAGACAATAGCATAACGAATCCCCATGTACCATCAGATACTTATATGATTATCAACTCATGGTCGGATTTATTTCACTCACTCATCTCACCAATATTATTTTGAAACAATTCCCAAGCGTATCATCTAACCCATAAATATTTTTTCAGAAGAAATTATGAATCTTTAATCTTACATATAACCATAATTCATGATTTAATTGTAGAGTTGTAGTCATCTGGTTTCTAGATACCTGGCCTTCTGAACTCATTAGGATTCATTACCTTAATTCATCCATTTATAAAATTATTTCTTATATCCCTTTGGAAGTTTTTATTTTTCTGCCTTCTTTCCCTTCTTGTCTTTTGGCGGGATCTTTCCTTTCTTTCGTGGTTTTTGTAATTCTTCAAATCTTCCCAGTCCTTTCCTTACCATTACTCCATGCCACCATGCTTGGATCTGAAAACAAGATACACCCAAACTCAGCATTAGCTGGTGTCGAGATGAACTAAAGATAGTCAAATCTCTTTGATCTGGTATCTGCTCTAGACTCTGTGGAGAATGGGGTATGATTAATCTCTAAACCTTGTTTTCTATGTTTCTCAATCAGCCAGTCATTTTGGCAAATTAAAAATTTTTGAGCATTTACATGCCAAGCATCATTATAGACATCTGGGAAATCACAGTAAGAAACTAATTGCTGCCTTCATGGAGTTTGCATTCCAGTCTGGGAAGAGTCAATGATAATAAACACATGACTGTATCATTTGTCACATGGGATGAGTGTCGTGGAAAATGACAGAGCAGAGTAAGGGAATTGGGAACGTCTATACATTGCCTTCTACCACTCCTTTGTCAGTTAGTCGCACTGTGGTGGCTTGTGTGTTGCTGTGATGCTGAAAGCTATTCCAATGGTATATTAAATATCAGCAGATACGCTTGTGGTAGACAGGTTTCAGCTGAGTTTCCAGATTAAGACAGAATAGGAAAAAGGAAAGATGGACTACTTTTGAATGTTTAATCACTGAAACCTTAAGAATAGCAGTGAAGTATTGCCAGATATGCTGGAAGATGAAAACATGATGCATAGCACCAGAATATTGTTAGATATAGTTCCAAAAAATAAGCCCCTCAG